GCACCCTGAGCGACCAGTGGGCTTGGGAAGCCACTGCTCACCCATCCTGAAGGGTTGGCTGTTAAAACTAACCCGCCGTGACTGGGTTTGGAAGGCCCTTTCCCGGGAATGACAGGAATGTCTTTATCCTGGCCAAAGCAGTGCTGGTATGGGGCTGTTCAGGGAACCCATTGCCAGAGACAGTCTCTGCTGTAAACAGGCCAGCAGCCATAAAAAGTCCACAAATTCCTCCAATCCCCATTTTCCTGGGATCAGGTGAGGGCCTGAAATGCACACGGGATGCAATGGGGTACCCTTGAAACAGAGCTGCCCGGCATGTGCTGGGGTCCCTCTGTGCCACGGGACGGGGTAAAGGCAGTGCCAGCAGCTGCTCGGGGCCAGGAAAATGCCTGTCACCGTGCTGCGGTTTCATGACCGTGGCCTGGAAGAATTTTGGTGGTGGTGTTTTTTTCCTGCTGGGAAGAGGAGCAGGCAGAGAAGCCCTGCTTGCCGGTGAGCCAACGTGGCAGGGCTGGGCCAGCCTGGGGCACAGGGTCAAGCAAGATGCTCCATGCCCATGCTGGGTTTTTGGTGCAGCATGGGAACAAATCTATGTCCAGCAACAAGGAATGGGCTGCTCTGCATTGCTTGTTTATTTTGTCACGGGGAGTTTAATGTAGGAACAAGGAATTGAGTCCCAGGTTGGGTGTGATGGGGGTCTCCACTGTCTCCCGTGCTCCCCAGTGCCGGCTGGGAGTTAAGGCTGTGCCATTGTCCCTGCCAAGAGCTGGGGCCTGGGGAGGTGCGTGAACGCAGGGAGGGGGCCGAGTGCCACGCACAGGAGTGTAGCTCCCCAGGTGAGATGCCACCAGCTACCTCCAGGAGGGCCTTGGAGCCAGAGGGTGGAAGTCAGAGTGGCGAGAGGTGGCTGGCAGCCCCTCATGCTCGTTTTCCAGGGCAAGGGGCCAGGGGTTGCTCCCGTCTTCCCTTCCCCTCCTCCGGTGCTGCTGGCAGCAGGCTGGGCGCTCAGCTGACAGTCACGGGGAAGGCATTAGCGAAGCAAATGGGAGTTTCCTTGCCCCACTGCAAGAGAAGACGAGGTGCTTTCCCCTGGCCCTCTCCTCCTGCAACCCTTCCCCACGACACCTATGGGAGAAGTTGGGCACAGCTTGAGGGTCCCTCATCATCCACACACACAGTGGGGAGGAAAACCAGCCCTGTGCTGAGCGCTTGCCCATCTCCATTAAACCCACCAGATCCTCCGGCAGCCAGCAACTAGTGTGCCTGTTCCCTGGTCTGTGTCCCCTGGTCCCTGCCCCAGCTTTTTTTTTGCCCCGCGGCCAGCCGCAGGGATGCTCAGAGGACCACTCGCCGGTCCAGCTGCTCGGCCCGCCCGGCTCGCTGGTGTCTTGCTTCCAAGTGCTTGTTTTGGACCTTCTCAAAGTGCTGCAGCAGCTCCGTGTAGTCGATGTTGGAGGCTGCTGTTCTCTTGTAGCTGGTGCTGGCTTTGGTGTTGTCCCTGTGGGGAAGGAGCAGAGTGAGGGCGGGTAGGGGCTGAAGATGTTGGTACTGTGAGCATCCAGCACTGGCAGCACCAAGAACTTGTCCTGAAAAAGCTGAGCCCAGCACATATTAGTCATGTTGGTGCCCCATAAAACATCCCCAAAGACATGTTTCCCTCCCCCAGAGGTGTGAGATGGAGCTCAAGAGGTCCTGGGGCAAGGAGGGGACAAGGGACATCTGCATCTTGGCCCCACAGGGGAGATTTAACCTCTCTGACATGGATGTTCCCCTCTATCCCAACCATTCCAGACAAAAGCAGTGAGGAAAGGATGCCAGAACCATGTGCCTCGGTTTCCCTGTGTTTTTTTGAGCAAGCAGAAAACATCCAGTGGCAGCAGGGACAGCCCCCAGGGATAAGGACCCCTGGCTAAAGCCCAAAAATGCAGGTTCCCTAGGGCTCCAGCTATGGATGCTCATCCTCGTGCTGTCCCCATGCAAGGAAGCAGGGAACACCAGGCACAGGACGCCCACGGGAGGAAGGCAGGCAGCTCTGGTGGCCCTGGTATTCCCCTGGGGAGGGGGCAGCTGGGGCTGGCCGGTTATGAAAGCCGGCTTCGGTGTTTGAAGGAATGTAGGTCAGAGTTAATCAGATGCTCAGGCCGTCTGACAGCTCGAAAAACCCCCACTGCCAGGACTAGTGGGGGAAAAAAGGAGGGGGAAGCACATGCAGCCCCCTCTCCGCCCCCCCAATTAAATATCAGTGCTGGGTTGTGGGTAGGAGCTCAGTGCCGGAGGCCACGAGGGATAAAAGCCATCCCAGGGAAGCAGTTAAAAGCCAAGGAGCGATGGCAGTGGGGGGTTAATTCAGAAACCTGCCCATCTTGGGAGCTCTTTTTGTTCCAAGGGCTTTGCCACGGCAGAGTCGGCTTTATCATCAACCCCCTACTCATTAGCTGAGGGTTGGAGAGCAAATCCCACTGGCAGCACCCCCGGGCAGGGAGTATGAGGATCTCACAGCTGGTCCCTGAAGAGATGCTGCCCTTGCACATCTCATGGACCCCCAAAGGCCACGAGTGGGAATGGAGTAGCCATCTGGAGACATTTTCATGGGTACCAGGGTCCTTTTGGGTACCATGAAGGCTGTCCAGGCTGTGGGGGGGGATGCTTTGGGAGCACCCCCAAGCTGCCAGAGTCTTTCTCCATAAACCTCCTTCCCAGCTCTGCTCGTTTCCATAGCGACCCCACAAGTGAAATTTTCCATCCCGGATGCCAAATGCCTGTGGATGAGGCACAGCCCTCCCAGGGTTACCAAATATAGACACAAAAAAACCCCTGAGCCAACGCTCCCGGCCACGGGGACAAGGAGCAGCCACGGCCGCAATGGAGCTGGGGGAGAAAGCTGGAGCATGGGGCTGAGCCTGGGATGGCAGGGATGCTCAGCTGTGGGGGGACAGCTGATCCAGCCCCGATGCTGGGGGTCCATCCCCATGGCACTTACGTGGTCTGCATGAGCTCAGGGTTGGGCACGCACTGGAGGCGGTGGGAGAGGAGCTGGAAGGCGCTGCTCTGGGGCAGCAGCATCAGCAGGCCATAGAGAGCCTTGATCAGGTAGGGGTTGTTCTTCACGTCCAGCAGCTGCAGGCGGAGATCTGGAAGAGGACAGAAAGAGGATGGGGAGTCAGGGAAAACACATTTCACCTCCAGCTGCAACAGCAGGTTCCTCCCACCCTCTCTGATAGTCATGGGGAAAGCCCAGCCTCTGCCAGCTGACCCGAGGCACCTGCATGGCACCCTTCTCCCCATCCATTAACTGATCCATCTTGGTGTCCCACACTGTCCAGAA